GGAAAGTAGTTTCCTTACAGTTAGATGAATTCCTTCAGTTCTTTCCTGCAGTGTCTTTGATCCTTTCCTTCAGTTTCTTTCCTTCCTCAGACTGAATACACGCAGGCAGCATGGCACGTGGGGGATGGAAGGGAGCTCTGGCATCAGGTGATCTTGGGTCTGACTCTCAGCTCTCACTTGGGAGCTCAGTGACTTTGAATCAGTTGTGTTCCTCATCTGTAAAACAGAGACACAGATAGCTGCTGGATGGAGTTACTAGGACTGAATGCGACATTGTTTGTAAAGCGTGTGCGCCCCCAGCTGCTAGGAGGTGCAAATGGGGATAGGTCTATTTATCTCTTTTGCGAAGGTGAGTGAAGTGATGGGTAGGAGGACCTCGGGAGGAGCCTCACATCAGCGGTTTGCCGCAAACCCGGGGGCCAGAGCGAGCTGTAGGTCTGGGTCTGTCATGGAGACCCTCAAGCTCAGATGTCCAGGCTGGTGCCAGGACGCTGGGATCACAAGGGGTCGTGGGTTCTCCATCCACTGGGCTGACTGTCCGCCAACAGATGCTGTTTCAGTCCTGGGATAGTTCTCAACAGCTTGCAAGATACCAAGGGCTCTGTTCTGGTGCTCTGTGGTCAGGCGCTTGTGCGGGTGAGCCCCAGGGAGGTCAGTTAGGACCTCCGGGAGGAGCCTCAGCCCTGGTCTGCTGGGGTTGGGACTTCCCTGGTTGGGAATCTCTGGCATCTGGGTAGGGACAGCCCCCGCCCAGTGCACGCCCAAGGAGAGAAGGGCGCGGCAGGCCGTCTAGACAGCTCGTCCTGGCTGCCAGCCTGTGGCTTCATCCCTGGGGACACGCGGTCGACATGCCTCCAGACTGCTAAGGGGATCTGAAACTTTAGACTTGGAATAAGCACACAGAGAGGTCTACTTGGAGCCCTTCACGTTTAGCTCCTAACTTCAGAGGGTTGAGGAATTGTGGGCTTGGCTGTGGCCACTGTTACCACCATTTGCCTTCCTGGCTTCCCAGAACGTGTGGGTCTGCGGAGAAGGGCCCTAGTTCTGCCGCCTGACTTCTGGCAGATGCTCCCCAGCCCTTTCCCATGACTGTTGATATCTGCTGTCCTAGACAGGCCAGCTCAGAAGCCGGTCCGTGTGTCTGAGATGAAAAAAAAAAAAAGAGTTAAGACCACCAGAAAGATTTTCTAAGTAAATAATTCACAGTAAGGCAAAAGCCACTTTAATTAGCTTTTTCTCAGTTCGGTACTTTGGTTAAATGAAATTGCCTATTTTATGTCTACCTTTTCTTTTATGTTCTTAAAAGTGCATATGAAGATTAAACCATAACAAAAAAAAGTCACACAGTTTTCAGGTCTCTGGCATAATTGGAACACAGATTTTTTGTTGTTGCTCTAAATCAATTTAATCTTTCCAGAAAGCACACTAGCTGAGTGTAAGCAAAGTTATAAAATTATTCATTGCTTCCCTTTCCACTGGCTGCTCAATTTTAGGACTCTATCCCGAGGAAATCTCTTCTCCCGCAGAACAAACAGAGGAGGTAAAATATGCCTTGCCCAAAGTGTTTCTCCCTCTCCGTGACAGTGAAAGTGGATAGTCCTGTGACGTGTAGGTAGGCCTGGATGAGGAGCAGTGAGTGACGCAGGGTAGTGTCTGCCATCCTGCTGCCTCGCAGTCCCCTGCGGAGAGAGCAGGTGCAGGGGAGAGGCCACACCCCAGATCCTGTGCACACAGTGATTTTTACCTCGTGGTCCGAGGCGGCCCAAAGTGCTACCTGAGCTCCTTACTCCATACCTTCAGGTTCGGGCACTCCAGGGGCTCATTCGGACTTCCCTACAACCAGCACTGGGGAGGTTCTGACCCGTTTTCAAACCTGGGCCCTGGTGCTGTCAGGTTGCGTCTTTACCAACTCAGAAGAGAATTTGGAACAACGTAATTACTATGTGTGCTCACTGGCTTGTGTTTTGTTTCCTTCTAAAGTTGCTTGCTTGAACTTATATAAAAATAAAACAATTTTGAATATGATAGTGGTCCTAAAAGATTTTATTTATTTGAGAGAGAGAGAGAGAGAGCATGTGCAGGAGCAGGGGAACAGCAGAGAGAGAGAGAGAGAGAGAGAGAATTGCAAGCAGACTCCCTGCTGCACACAGAGCCTAACTTCAGGGCTCGATCTCACGACCCTGAGATCACGGCCTGAGCCGAAATCAAGAGTTGGACACTCAACCGAGTGAGCCACCCAGGCGCCCCAATAGTGGTTCTTTTATTATACTCTTGAATGTAGGGTCATGAGTTCTTTAGAAAAACCAGTCTTTACAGCCCTCTCAGTGGCTTAGCATCTGATACCTGCCTCTCACTTGAGTATCAATAACAGATTTTTCATCAAAAATCCCGGACTTATTTTTGAGATTCTTACAGTCCTGGATGATAGAAGTCTCTACTTTTGTACAAGAGGATTTTAAATAAACTAACATTTTAAAGTGAGCATTTCCGGTTGGTAGAACATAATGTATGCGTGTGTGTCCAGATACCTCTGTGCAGAAGTTTAATGTCGGTGAGCTCTCATTGGTGAATGTTGTAGAGAATCCGAGGGACAGTGGTTTTGGAGCCTCGTGCTTTATGTTTATAGCTACTTGTGTGTATTTACATACATGCCCACATGTGTGGGCACCTAACTACCCCCATACATACACCCAAATAAATACATAAACACAGCATACACACATTCTTCATATGGTTTCTCTTTGTCTGAATTAACTGCTTTCAAACTATCGTTTTGATGTGCCAGATAGAGTTCTGTTTGGCTTCTGGATGCTTCCCTCTCAGGGAGGATGACATCCACAATTATTCCCAGGTTCTGGAGGCAGCAGAGTGCTCCAAATACTCCTTAATAAGAGGTCATTGGAATGCCTTGCTCTTGTGGGATCATCTGTTTTTATGCTGATGAACTGGTACCTGATAGTTTTTTAAAATTCTCCCACATTTGGCATTAATTTTTGAAGAAAACTTTGGAAATGACAGCAAATGATTCCACAGATGCTCGCCTTTCCTCCTTCATCCCATCATTGGAGCTCATCCTTGCATCACTCAATTCCATGGGAAGGAAAAAGATGACTATGACCTTGTCCTGCCCCTGAGAGGGAAACGGGGTGTGTGTGTGTGTGTGCGCGTGCACGTGTGCGCATGTCTACACACCCACACACAAATGCACTTGAAAGTTAAAAATGAAGTGCATTAGACACAGAAGATTGAGTAAATATATAGACCATCTCTTGGATGACTGCAGTAGACCCCTTCCTGGTCTTTCCGCTAGGGAAGTGGGTGGGAAAATATGTTTGTGATATTAAGTCGGTAGATAATAAGAGTACCACTCACATAAAAGTTTGACAACCACTGCTTCAGTGTTTCCCCCCAAGACCGGCCTCAGACTAGACCCTACAATCTCACGTTGTCTGTTCCAAAAGATGCCCAGCTTGTCCCTGACCGCACACAGCAGCCTTTTGGGCACAAGCTGTGATCCTCCTGGCTTAGCATCTCTTGGCTGTCAGATTGGATGGAACCCACAGCCGTCTGTGTACCTACAGGCTTCGGGACCCGCCCCCCAGCCCCGTCCCTCCCCAGCTACCACCCGCACTCCACCAGCCGCACTCACTCTAGCTTCGGGATTCACAGTTCAAGACCAATCTAGCTGAACTCAGCCATACATTCTGAGAAATGTACCGATGTCATTATTTAAGGAGTCTAAGAACTGTAGTAAAAAGTACTTTGTAAATCAGCTTTAGAGTTTTCAAAGTCCTCATTTATACAAAGATATGTGAAATGTGTTTGTCACTCAGCGTTCACTGAGAGTTAAGTGTTCTGTTGTGTCCCCACTGTGGCAAGACTGTTCAGGGTCCTGTCAGCTTTCTCTGGGAAGGCTTTCCAGAGAGGGCATGGATATTAGTGATCGGTTGCTGTGTAACAAATGACCCCAGAATTGAGGAGTTTAAAACCACGGGCTTTATCTCACACAGTTTTCCTGGGTCAGGAATCCAAGAATGGCTTAGCCGGGTAGTTTGGACTCAGGGTCGGTCATGAGGTTGCAGTCATCCGATCCGCCTCCCAGCTCACTCTCAAGGTTGTAGGGAGGCCTCAGTTCCCTACCACATGGACTTGGCCATCCGCTGCCTGTGCATGCTCACAACGTGGCAGTCGCCTTCCCCAGAGCAAGCCATCTGAGAGATTGAGACCAAGCTAGACACAGCAGTCTTTTTCACCTCATCTCAGAAGGGACATACCGGCCCTTCTGCCGCATTCTGCTGATGGCAGAGACCAGCCCTGGAACTGTGTAGGAGGGGTCTGAGCAAGGGTGGGAGCCCCGGGAGCTGGGAGGCGCTGGGGCCCATGGAGGCCGGCTGCCGCACCTGTTCCAAGAGGGGCTTGGAAGGAAGGAAGGGGAGGAAGTCGTTAGGGAGGGAATCTGTGGCTGAAAGGGCACAGCCCTGCTCACTTGTTTTTCTCTTAACCAAGACTCCTTTCCTCTTACTGTTCGCTTCTCTCCACCAGCCCTCATTGTGCAGATTATGAAACACTCAGGCATTTGCCTGCAGCGGTTACCTCCTCCCAGACAGGGAAGCTCCTGCAACTCAGAATCACACAAAAAAAGAGGCCAGTATTTATTAATAAGGGCTCCCAGGCTTGCTGTCTCATTTCTTTTAAACCTGAGGCATGTGGGTGCTGCTTATTTCCTGGGTGTATATAAACACAAAGCTTGGTTATTACTGGAACCGTTCTAGAAGAGTAAAAATTGCCAGGAACCTGGGTCGCTTGGGGAACTGAATTTTCTGGTTGCTGCAGTTTCCAAGGGAGCTCTTCCAGATCTGTTTACCAGTGAATCATCCCATGTAGACTGAGAGAGAGTCTCCCGCCTTCCAAAGCTTAGTTGACTTCGTTGGTGAGTGATCCGGGAGTGGGACCCCAGGGCCCTTCGCTTAACGTGACTTGGGTGTCTCCGTGATCTTCAGGCAGGTTCCAGCAGTGGCCCGGGGCAGAGAGTGTGTGTCATCGATGAGATTGGGAAGATGGAGCTCTTCAGTCAGCCTTTCATCCAGGCCGTTCGTCAGACGCTGTGCACCCCAGGGACTGTAGTCCTGGGCACGATCCCAATACCTAAGGGAAAACCGCTGGCCCTCGTGGAGGAAATCAGAAACAGAAACGACATTCAGGTGTTCAGTGTGAGTACAGCTTGTCCCCCATGCCTATAAAAAAGGAGCAGGTGACCTCAAACAGCGGGGTGGCTTTGAAACGTACCTTTGCTTTGAATTACCGTTTTTCCCCCCTAGGAGGCTAGATCCAGGTGAGTCTGATTTTCTAGGAGTTTATAGAACTTAAGTTTTGCCTGTGCTTGGTGAAAAAACACACTTCCCTGCAGCCACAGTGTGAAACACGGCTTTCAGCTGCTAGGCCGTAGCCCAGGGCAATAGAACTGTGGACGAGGGTGGGGATGTCCCGCCTGCACTGGTCAGTGCCCTAGCCATCAGCCACCTGTGACTACTTCTGTTCAAATACAAGAAAAACTTCCTGTCTCCGGTCGCTCTGCCCTCGCGGACAGCACAGCTGCGGAGCGTGTCAGGCAAAGTGACGTCCGCGGAACAGCCGTGGGGGCATCAGGCGGGGGTCCGCGAGCCGCACAGAGCTGTAGGCGCGCCCGGACCCCACGAGTCAGACCCGGGGCATGGGCCCAGCGGCGTGCTTTCGCGAGCTCGCAGGTGGTTGTCACATGCTCGTCGGGGGAATTGTGCGGTAGAGCACGGGTGAGTGAGGCCCGGCTCTGTCATACCAGCCGGTGGCCGTGGCCAAGCGAGTGCAGGGGCCTCTGATGGCACCGCGGGCACTTTGCCCACATACGTGGTTTTCCTTCCCCTTCGTCTTTCTGGGTCCTTCTCAGCTAACTCTCGCCCTGCGCGCCCTCTATGTCAGTGAGGGAGCCCTGTTCCCGGCTGAGCTCTGCCCGCCCCCTCGCCCGCCCCCACCCCCAGGGTAACCGCCCACAGGCCCTGCGAGGCCTCGTGAACGGGTCCGGCTGGTCCCCCCGCCCCGGGGAGCGTACCGCGTGCACCTGCCAGCTCGCCGGCCCCGTGGGACGTCCCCGTGTCGTCACCAGAGTATCCAGGGGTACTCCGGCGGCAGTAAACCGCTGTTAGGGTTGGAGCAGCCGAACTTGGACAACTTCGTGCCTCCCTTCCTTCATTTAGTCAGTAGTCACTGAGCAGCGCCTTGTGCTAAGTCCTGATGCTGAACAAGACCAGCCAGGTCCTCGTCCTCCACAGCGCACCGTCTAGTAGGGGCTGGGCCACAGCACGTACTGACAAGGGCCATGTGGTCGCTGGGCTGGAGGTGGGTGGGGGCAGGGAGGTCTCTCCACGGTGCGCTGAGAGCCCTGCAAGGTCACGTGCTCAGGGACGTCTTCCAAGTCCGTGGGGCCCTGGTGTGCAGAGTTTCATGGTGCTCCCTCGGTCTCTTACTGTACGTGGTCTCCAGGTTAGAGTTTTGGGTTGGGATTCTAGAGTTTCTGTGGAAGTAGGGCCAGTGAACAGTGAGAGAGGGTGAAAGACCACTGGTCCTCAGGCCGGCCGGCTTCCAGGCTGGAAGGTGGGCCGTTGCTGCGGTTAAACTCTGGACACCGGCCGCCCCTGCAACCCAGTGTCATCTCCGAGTCCTAGATGGGATTGAGCAGGCACAGCTGGTGTGTCCAGGAGAAAACGGTGTATCTTAGGATAATACCACATTTTCTCCTTGCTGAGACTGGAAATTATTCTCTGGGCAAGGTAATCATTGCTCCTAATGATGTGTAAATAAAGTGATTAGCTTTGGGTTAATTATGTAAGAGATAGGGGCTCACGTATCCCGTTATTCTTGTCTTTCCTGTGTTCCTTTAGGGCTTGTGTTCCGCTTTCTGTGCCCGTTTTCCACATGAAGAATCTCATTTTCCTTATTTGCAAATTTAGGGGTTGGATTAGATATTTCCTGGTCCTTTCCCTTTCTCAGATGCAGTGAAGTTCTCTGAACCCCTGTTTGAGAGCATCCTGTGCATCCAGCACTTAGTCCAGAGGCACACGTGAAGCATGTTCCCTCCCCTCGAGAAAAGTAGGTGATGTGATAGTCACAATCCGGAAGCAGAGAAGGGACAGAATTCTGCGGGGAGAGGTGGTCCAAGGGACGTGGTTCTTGGGTGGGTTTTGAAGGAGGAATTGGGGAAAAGAAGAACATTCCAGGTGAGGAAATAATTTATGTAAAGTGGGGAGGGCCGCCTCCCCCTGTGACAGCTGAGCCTGTTCAGACGGGGAGGTGGAACTGAACTCAGGGGGGAAAGAGGGGCCCACTGAGTGACTCCCGTTACCTAGGCTTATTCTTAATAGCATCACGTAAACAGAGCATTGCTTTTCAGAAAAAAAACCTCAGAACACTTCCTCTTCTAGATAAGGTGGAATAGATACACTTCGCCCTATTCCTCCTGTTAGGTATAGCTGAAAACCTTGGACATTACGTATTAAACAAACATACGGAGACCTGAAGGGTGGAAAGAAGACAGCACACCGGCTAGGAGGCTCAGCCAGGGGGCAACAGACACAACCGAAAACCTCTTGTCCTACCAGGAACCAGGAGAAGCAACTCGATTGAAACAAACATCAACACGTGCCAACAGCAAGATGACGGATATGTTGGAATTATAGGGCAGAGACTTTAAAACAGCTGTGACGAAAATTATTCAGTGATCAATTGCAAACACGCTGGAAACGAGTGAAAAATAGAGTGTCCATTTTAGCAAAGATACGGAAGGTATAAAAAAGAATCAAATAAAAATTTTAGAACTGTAACATATAATTGAATGAGAAAGTCTCTGGAAGGAGTCCCCAGGAGAATGGAGACAACAAAGGAAAGAATCAGTAAACTTGAAGGTAGAACAATAGAAATTGCCCAACAAAGAGCAGACTTTGGGGGGCGGGGTGGACAGAGCTCAGGGACTTGTGGTACTATAATAAAAGATCTAACATTCATGTCATTGGAGGATGGTCTTGGTAATTTAGAAACTTCTGTCATGGTGCAGGTATGAGTATTGACAGTCACATTCCTGAAAATTTTTCTCTCTCGAAAGTTTGGTTAATTTTTTTTCTCATGTCTTGTAGAATTTACTGGTCACTACATGTGGCTGCTGAAAAATGTTTTCAATTTATTTCACATTTGCTTGTTTGAGCGTAATATGTTTAATGCTGTAGAGGCAAGAGATAAAGACCTTCATGGATCAAGATTACTAGGAAGAGCTGTGTGCACTGTTTCCCTGGTTCTGTAGCAACATGAAGAAAATATCCCTGCTGGTCACTTCCGACCTCATGCATGCGCACGTGCGCATGTGAATACACATACATACGAGTTTCATTGTCGTAGTGGCATTTAGAAAGCATCTTGCATTTGATTTCCTTTGAAATATCTGCTTGATAGAAATGCTGGTGAATGTTATCTGCTGAGGGCCCAGAAGAGACAGGTGGAGACTGGAGTGTTGACTTAGATGCCAGTGTGGCCACCAGGCACTGAGCACCTGGACTGAGGTGCTATGCTCAGTCCTGTAGATTACCAGGGCACGTAGACATCACAGTACCTGCTGAGGTATATCCTGTCATCTTCATTTTATCAGTGAGAGGCTGCATAGCCTGTCCAGGGTCGTCGGCTAGGCGGTGGCACAGCTAGGATTCAAACTTCCGTCTGTCTGCCTCCAAATCTTGAGCCGTTAGCACAACCCTGCTGTATGGTTTCCTTTGGTGGTACGGATGATTCAGATGATTTTGTGAAAAAAATCTCAGATTCCTAGAAATCATTTGGTTTTTCTACTTTATGTAGTGTTACTACAACTAAAATCTACTCCACTGTCCTGAATTCAGAGTCCTTTATACTTGTTTTTTTTTTTTTCCATAAAGCAGTTTTTATGCTTTTAATTTTTGTTTGTGCATTGCAAGATCACAAGAGTAACAGGAACTAGGTCCCGATTTCCTTCCAGTTTGGGAATTCTTAGACCTCTGCTTACGCATTCCCGCCATGGGTTTTTTCATCAAGCAGAGCATAAAGCATTTCTACCTCACCAGGAATTCGATGCTGTCCTCTGGGCCGGTGGACTCCTGTAGATACAGGAGTGAGAGAAGGTCTGTTAAGCGCTGGTTCAAAAGCCAGTAGGCAGGATGTTTGTAGAAACTGACAAGCAAGCTGATCCTAAAATTCATGTGGAGATGCAAAGGACTCAGCTAAAACAATCTTGGGAAAGAACAATGTTCGAAGACTCCTACTTCCTGACTTGAGAACTCACTACAAAGCTACAGTGGTCGAGACTGCATAGTACTGGCTGAAGGCTAGACACAGATCAGTGGAAAAGAACTGAAAGTCAGAAATAAACCGTTACATCTAAGATCAGTTGATTTTCAACAAGTGTGCCAGGACAACTTAATGAGGAAAGAATCGGTTTTTAATAAATGGTGCTGGGGAACTGGGTATCCACAGGCAAAAGAGGGAAGCTGGACCCTTAACATCGTTCGTATATCAGAATTAACTCAAAGTAGATCCTAGGCCTAAATTTAAAAGCTAAACTCTACAGCTCTTTTTTTTTTTTTTAATTTATCTATTTGACAGAGACAGAGAGCGTGTGTTTGCAGGGAGGGGCAGAGGGAGAGAAGCAGACTCTGCTAAACTCTGCAGCTCTTAGAAGAAAATACAGGAGTAAATCTTTGTAAACTTGGGTCAGGCAAAGTCTTACTTGATACAACACGAAAGTAATTCTTGGTTTGGAAACTTTAACCCTCATGGAAAAAATAGAGCTAGAGGGACTGGATTCAGGAATAATCCTATTTTTAGGTTCAATAAAATAAAGACACAACATGAAACAGGTTAGTAATAACTTTTGATATGTGTTAACTTACAACGAGTGTTGTCAAATTTCTTTCCGTAATCCGGTGCTTATTAGGAACTTGTCAGGGTCCTTCTCAGAGTTTCAAGGAAAATAGGTGGTTTCGTTTTGCTTTCTTGTATGTAGTACGTATAGGCCCTTAGGGGCATTTTTTCCTGCCTGTTCCTGTGTCCAGATAGTCACAGCTTCCCTGATGTCCTGGTGCCCGCGTTGTTGACTGGGACCTCTCAGGCCCTCCCGTGGCCCCTGCAGGCAGCACAGAGCAAGTTGGATGCTTGAGATGGTCAGCGTCTTCATAATCTTTTACCACTCAGCTGTATTTCAACGACCCTCCTCAGCGTAGAATTCAGTAAACATTGACCGAGCACCGCCCGTGTGCCAGACACAGGGTGAATGAGATGCCCTGATCCCCTTGGAAGTCAGGGTCTAAGTGTCACCAAGTCACCAAGGGCCGGGCAGGGGCTCAGCTTTCACTGGGCTTCCGGTCTTTCCCTGGAGGCCCCAGTGCAGAGTGGAGGGTGGACCCGCTTCCTTCCCGCAGTCCTCCTCGTCTTGTTCGCGTCTGCATCCGGAGCCCTCGCCTGGCCAGCCTCTCGGGAAGGACTTTCTGCAAAATCACATCCTGGTGGTTGACTACAAGACGGGGCTTGTGTATGCAGGGAAGGGCCCCCGAGGGGGACAGGTGATGCTCTCCTCGCTCTCGCGTTCGAGAGCTTGGCTTCGGTGTACAGGGAGCGTCGTGATGAACACCGTCGACAGTTTCACTTAGACCTCTTACTGCGTAATTCTCAGAAATCATCTTAGGGAAATCAGAGGGCAGTAGCCAAATATTAATGTAGTTTTGCATTCATTAATTTTTTTTTAAAGATTTTATTTATTTGACAGAGACACAGCAAGAGAGGGAACACAAGCAGGGGGAGCGGGAGAGGGAGAAGCAGACTTCCCGTTGAGTGGGGAGCCCGATGCGGGGCTCGATCCCAGGACCCTGCGATCATGACCTGAGCCGAAGGCAGTCGCTTAACGACTGAGCCACCCAGGTACCCCGCTTTCATTAATTTTTAACATGAAAACATTCCCAAGATGTATCTTTTCCAGGTGTTATTTTTCCTGTGGAAGCAAGGCTTGGTGAGCGACTCAGCGGGTGGGAGAGAGGAGGCGGGTCTCGCTCCCGGGCTGGGTCCTGAGAGCAGGGCTGCCCCATGATCGTCACGGTGCCAATGGAGAGGACAGGGCGTTTCCCGGGGACACGGGACGGTGCCGGCATGTAAGCGCTCCTCGGGTCTCCTTTCAGTGAGCTCTGCAGCCCCGTGCCTGTGAAATCCAGCTCCTCCACCAGCCCCACGCCTCCTCCTTCATAAATGTGACCGTTCTGGAGGAAGTGGCCCCAGATGCCCCTCATCCAGGAATCCCCGCTTTGAGGCACACAGTAAACTCACAGACCCTGAGGGCGGAGCCTGGTGTCATTCCTGGTGAGGTCAGGGGGCAGGAAAGGGACCGAGTGGCCCCAGTGGCCCGCCTGCACTCTGCTGCTAAAGCCACGAGCCCCCTGCCGCTGTCGCCCGCCTGCCTCCCGCTCTCCTCCCTTCCCATCAGCGCACTTCCTTGAGAGCAAACAGCAGAAAGGGACTTGGGCTCAGTTGAGCACGCACAGCAACAAAGAGCCTTGCCGGGCCGTGCGGCGGTTTCTCATCAAGCTGGAGGCGAAGCTGATGGCCCTCGAATCGGTGGGACCAGAGCTACTGGGGAGCGACGGCAAGGACAGGTGCACCACGTCCTGGGATATATGGGGGATGGGCGGCCCCAGCCGTTGGCTGCTCCGCTCACCCCTTTCAGGATTCAGGTGCTCTGGATCTTCAGGGCCCAGCCTGCAGTCCCGGACTCAGAGCTAGTTTCCTAGACTGTCGTCTCCCAGAGGGAGGTCAGAGCGCTCTTGGAGGGAGGGCGAGTGGATGTGCGGGAGCCGGGGGACGAAGCCCACTGTGCATCTCCTCATCAGACGTTCGTCCAGCACCTGCTCTGTGCCGGGCGGGCGGGCAGACAGGCCCATCTCTCCTCTCAGGGTCCGCGGGCACTGACCACTGGCTTTGCAGATGCACTCACGTCGTCTTTGCAGGATTCTTTGCTTGGGTCCTTCTCAGGCATAACGGGCGTGGAAGCCTTTCCTCACCCCGCCCCACCCCAGCTCCCGTGCGCCCCCGCAGACTTTCTCTCCTGGACCCTTGACCATTGGTGTTCTCACTGGCCTTGTCTGTCCCTCTGTTCTGCTCTGCAGGCCCCTTATGGAGTCCTCCCTCTGTCCCCGGCACCTTGCTCAGTTTCTGGTTGACACCCCATCAATGTTGAATGGATGAATGTTGGGGAGGCCCAGCAGGAAGGCCCTGCCCTTACTTGGGGGACCGCCCACCATCCAAAGCCCCGGGTGGCGTCTGAGCGCTTCCCTTGTACTCGGAAAGAAAAACATCAACGGCTCCCCGGGTAAAGCTTCCACGGTCCGAGCTGTCCCTTTGCAGAAGCTGGGGCTGGAATCCCACCAGCCTGGCCTGCCTGCAGGGTACCCTGGAGCTGGGCTTCCTCCCTCAGTCCCCAAACCCGCCTCCCCCTCTCTGGGCCTTCGGGGCTCTTCCCGGAGAAAACCGCCTAGCAGAGGGTTGAGGAACGGGAACGGGCCCTGAAGCCTGCGCTCCTGCTGCTTCCCACAGGTCACCAAGGAAAACAGAAGCCACCTTTTGCCAGATATTGTGAGGTGTGTGCAGAGCGGCTGGAAGTGAAGACCGTTCGAGCCCCTGCCTTGTGCTCTTGAAGAGATGTGCTGCTTCACGCGGAGCCTGATCAGTGCCCCGCCTGCCAAGGATTTATGCCTTCGGGCTTACGAAACCTGATGGGCCTTTCCAGAGAAAGCCTGACAGCTGTTCTCCATGAAATGTTTAAAAGATCAAATTAGCCTGAAGGCCGGATTGGCGCGACAAGATGAACAGTCCGCTGTGGCTTATTTATGCCCAGAGGTTTCTGTTTATTTCCTCTTGCAGTTGTGCATATGATTTCGGTAAATTATGAAATGAGAAATGTTTTTCAAGAGTATTAGATGGAACTTGCCCCCATCGAAGTTGATACGTGTGTTCCGGGGAAGGGGGAGAAGGGTGTTCGCTACCTAATCAATTTTGCATGTTATGAAAATTAACCCCCTCTCCAGGTGCTTCAGCTCACAGGGATATGAGTTACTCAGTTTTTTTTTTTAAAATGGTTACTTCAGAAAAAAGCCATTTTAGGTCCTCCCCACCCATCTTATTGTTTATGTGATTGCTTATTGCTTAATAAAAAGAAACTAAACGCGGTGGTTGCAAACACGTGAGCCCTGTGTGCTTTTAGGTCATTTTGGGGGAAGATCTGTGAACTTCCAGGATATTTTAGCAACGAGCCTTAGTTCCAAACCCAGCTCGGGTTTATGCCGGGCGTGCCCCCGTCTGTGCCCGAGGCCCAGTCTAGGCGTGTGGAGCCTAGACTAGGGTGTCCTATGAGCCGGGCGCTGGGCGCACCGCCCGGGACGCACTTGCGTCTCTGAGCGGGGACGGCGGTTGGGAGCCTGGGACGGGCTCCCTTGGTCCGTCTTTCCCCCAAGGGAACCTCCTGAAGCTTGGTGTGGATTTGCTCAGCCTTCGAGGGGGTCACATCTGAAGGGCCTCCTAGATGATGAACTAATCTCCTACGAAGGGTGCCAGATCCAGTATGGGGAAGGGGGCATCCCCGGTCCCACTCTCCCTGCCCGGGTGGCTTGTTCAGGGGCACCGAGCTCACGATGTCCGACGGGCTGGTGTGACTTCTGCCAGGCTCCCTGGGACCGAAGGAGCACTGCATGCAGGTGTGGTCTGGGAGCCCAGCTCCTGCATCAAACCTACTCTCGTCCAAAGAGGAGCCCCGCTCGGCCTCAGGTGACCTGAGAAAGGGCACAGGCCGGGGGGGGGGAAGTGTCGCGTATGTGGCCCTGAAGACAGAGCCAGCCTCAGGCCTGGTGCAGCTGGTCCGCCCTGGCTGAAGGGAGCCGCTCAGAGGGAGCCCTTACCGGCCTCCGTGGTGCGGGCTCCTCGCAGCTGTCCGCTGTGCGGAACGGATTCGGGGCGGCCCCCAACATGCATGCGGGACTGCGAGCTTCTGCATACTCTCTCTTTAATGGTAAAGAAACACATGCCTTTTAGTGGCAGATAGAGGGTTTGAACCAAGTCCCTGTGGCTCCCAAGCCCTTGCTCTTTCTACTCTTCCCACTGTGTTGATGCTTTCTGTCCTTTTCAGCGCATCATGTGCCCCCAGATCTCAGCGTTGACATTTAGCTGCGATAAACCGAAGCAGCTATCGGCTGGAAGAACATGGAGTGTTCGCTATGGCTGGGTCCTTAAATTATTACTGTATTGCTTGGTCAAACGGGATGATCAGGGGCATGTATGAAGGTATCCGCTGCCATCCCTCTATTTTAAGAAATGAAGTCTAATAAAGGATAATGTTATGGTCTGAATGTTTGTGTCCCCCACAAATTCAAATGTTGAACTCTGACCCCCGGGGTGATGGTGTTAGGTGGGGCCTTCGGGAGGGGATGCAGTCAGGAGGGTGGAGCCCTCATGAATGGAATTAGTGCCCTTATGAAAGAAACCCCAGAGGGCTCTCTCCCCTCGGCCCTGTGAGGTCATGGCGGGAAGTTGGGGGGGAGGGGCTCGGTGAACCCGGAAGAAGGCCCTCACCAGACACCGAATCTGCTGGCGCCTTGATCTTGGGCTTCCCAGCCTCCAGAACCATGAGAAGTAAGTGCTGTTTAAGCCCCCTCGTCTGTGGTATGAAATAGGATGAATTCACAAATAACCCTGACTCAGGGCCTCAGAAAGGATGGGCTTTCTGTTGAGGTTTAAAGGAGGAAGAGGTGGAGCACCATTTGAGGCCTGCTTCCCGAGCCAGGCCAGGACCAGAGGAGGAGCCGAGCGCATACCCATGCATCCCTGCGGGTGCCGCTCCCTGCGATGAGGTGCTCTGGGAGAGGAAGGGGTGTGGTGGCACGGACGGGCCGACGTCAGCGGTTCTCATGTATTCCTGAGTTTGAAATGCCTCCCCTCAAGTCATCAAGCGCAAGGTGGGGGGCGATGGTGGCCCAGAAAACATGGAATGGGCCTTTTCCCCCTTTCTCTTCCTGTCTCGGAGTTCATGAGGGTTGTGTCTGGGAAGATCGCACACGTGTGCGTGGGTGCGTGGGTGCGTGCGTGCACGCTGGTGTCAGGTGCCATGTCCCTGGAGCATAATGACTTGGACAAAACCCCCAGGCAGTGGAGGGGGCCTAAGGGGCTGAGTATACAGGGTCTTCGCATTGCACACTTTACGGGCAAGGAGAAGCTGGAGCATCAAGTGATTCTAGAAAACCACTTGCAAACAGATGGTCTCAGCACCCAGTGCAAAATTTAGAATCAATAATGCCAGATTAGCCCCATGATTTATATAAAACCAAGCACTACAGTTTTTAGATCATTTTTAGAGGAGAAACAATTTCATTGTGTCCAAATGCAAAAAATAACCCTGTGGTTGTATGCTGGCAGCCCATTTAAATAGCCCCAGCATGAGACGTCACCTTAGGAATATTTCTTTTAAATGGGGGCGAATCCAGTCTTTTGCAAGGAACACCCTGATAAACAGCTGACTGGCTGAAGATCAGATTAACAAGCTCGTGTTTGGGGAGGGACACCTGGGTGGTTCAGTCGGTTCAATGTCCCAACTCTTGGTTTCGAATTGAGTCATGATCTTGTGGTCGTGGGACGGAGCCCCGAGTCAGGCTCTGCGCTGAGCGTGAGTCTGCTTCGGATTCTCTCCCTTCCCCTCTGCCCCTCCCCGTTACCCACGCATGCGCCCTCTCAAAATAAAAACAAACAGGCTCACGTGTTGTAAATATAACGTTCTTTATACCACAATGTAGAGAAAAAGTGTGACTGCCGTGCTGACAGGCATGCGGGTCCAGGAGTGCATCCAACCCCATCTTTCCCTTTGTGGGCACACACACCCGTGCACGTGTGTGTGTGTGTGTGTGTGTATGCACTCCCAGCATGCACGCCCAAGGCGGTTTTACTCTCTCAGACAATGCAGACTTGTATTCGGATCAGAGGACTTGGGCCTTACTGTTGTTGACAAACCATGACCGTCCTTGTCTGCTTCCTTTGCACGGAGACGACCCGGATAAGCCATCGGGTCATTGATTGGAGAAGCAGCTCAGGAATCTCTAGCAGAATGACATGCACCCAGAGCACTTTGGCTTCTCATCTGCATTACTGTTTCTCGACCTCTTGGTTTTCCAGCTCTGTCAGGAGATCCATTTCCTGTGGAACGCAGTGGCTTTCTGGGTTTCTTACTTCTGGGTGCCCAAGAGGGTGGTCAGCCCAAAACAGGCTGACTTAATTCAAGGAGGTGCCCTTTGTGGGGAGGTCACGCTCACAGCTCAGGGCCGGCCATTTAGTCCTTAGGGCTTGGCTATAAAGTTGCCCAAGAGGATTTCAGGGACTGCCAGCCAAGTTTGGTTTGGCCGACTTAGAGAACTGCAGTGAGGTTCTGTCAGCTTCTCATTAGACAGACACCTGCATTTAAATCAATAATAACCAACTTTGCATCTCCGGGGATGGCTGATTTGAGAATGATGCACAGTGTCTCTGATTACAGAGCCCACCTATTATTATTAATTGGCAATCCTTACTTTGAAAAAAAAATTACCATCTGCTTCCAGGGGGAAAGAAATTCTCTGCTGTGCCCTCCCCTAGCCCCCACGCTTCAAATCCTAGATACCTTGAAGAAAGTCATGGGACTATCTCCAAAGTGACTTATTTCTAGCTATTGTCTTTCCAGAAGGGATGGTTCACCAGGCCAGTGATGCTCTTCTTCAGAGACTGTGTTTCAGGACTCCTTCATCCTCCAGTACATCCACAAGAAATCAGGTTTCTGCTTTCCCCGGTGACAGGCTTCACTTGGGGAAGGTCCCAGAATTTGCCCAAATGCCATTCTCACAGTACAGGATACCCCAGAACTCACACAACCGGACACAGCCGTAACTGTAAACATTTTATTCCCAAAACAAAGGTGTGTGCGAGTGTTCTATGACACGGGAAGGATGGCTTGGCTCGGAAAACAAGCGAACATTCCTGCGAGTGGACAGGAGCGCTGGGCGAGACAGGCCTGGCTCGTGGGGACCCGCGGGACTGCAGTCGAGCATCATGTGAGTCCGGATGGCTTTCCACGCTCCCACAGGACTCGATGTCTACACTCGGGTCACTAGTATACTGTAGACATGACTGCATGCACTACCACGTTTCAGTAAAGCTGCCATTGGCTTATACTTAACATCTGCGTAAATGTGCTAGAAGAGGTGAGGTTTTCTTTACGCGGCGATGGAACCCTACTGCGTCCTGAACGTGGTTTACGGGAATGTCCAAAATGCCAGTTGGTTAACATGCGGTTGTCTTATTTTCTTCAGGGCAGGAAAGAGGGACTTAGGCGCTCTACTTACTCTAGCTGTTTTAAGCTATTACGTGGCTTTTGTTAGAATTTTCAAATTCTGGAAGTTGTGCGTGCCACGCCCGGGAGCTGGGGGGGGTGCAGCTTGGAGCAGCGTCGGGGACGGGGGCGGGGAGGGGAGGGAGGTGTGCTGTCAACTGTTTTATTGCCATGGGAGACTTCCTTCGAGAACCTGCGGTAGCGTCCCTCCAGTTTCTAGAGTGGCTCTCGTGGCTGCAGAGCAAGGGCCCCCCTCCAGCCCCTGCCCCTACTGCTCATCCGAAGCACTCTGCTGGGAGGCCGTGTCGTCCAGGCCCATGTCCTCCTGGCTGGCTCTCCTGCACAGCAGTTCCCCGTTCTCTGCCACGGCCCCAGCCGGACGGCGGTCACAATGCTGCCCCTGCTCGGTGGCCTCGGTGGGTTCACACGGCTCAGAGAAGTGCTTGAGAGAGAGGAGAAGCAGGGAGGCTCAGCAAACGTGTAAGGCCACTGCTGACCACCAGCCACCGCTGCGGGGGTAGCCTACCCCGCCAGCGTGGCAGGGGGTCTGAGGGCCAGTGTGGGGGCCCACGGGGCTGGCCTCCGCCGAAAGAAAGGCGGCCACGGGTGTACCGTGCCGGGGCAGGTTGGGGGCTCTGAACACGGGGACCTTTCCCCAGGTGATGGGCATGCCCTTGGGTAAGAGGTTACTGTGTGCCTGGCATTCCTGGGGTTAGGCCAGTGCACCGCCCCCCCCCACACGCATTGCCCCCTGGCGGAAACCCTAAGTCTGGCAGGTTGGTGCCCCAACAGTAATACCGGTGCCCAGAGTGCCAGGGACCCTATTGTCCTGCGGGAACCTGCCAGAATCCCAGACACACACCCACAGACGGTATCTTAAACAGACTGCGGGGCGGGGGGAGGGGGAAGGACGAGAAATATGTGTGATTTTGTGCATTTTTTTCCTGAGGAAATGGAAACACAGAGGGAAGTTTGTTTAGACGTGTAGTTATCTAACTAAACCTAGCTAAAGCTCCTGAAGGCACCAGCCTGCTTGCCCTTGGCCCCTACCTGTGGAGCTTCCCCCGTTGGTGTGGTCCCCATCTTCCACCTCCAAGTAACCCGCCCCGAACCGAAGCCGGGCAGGCGGTGACCTCATGCTCTGCAAGAGCGTCAGCCTCTGGCCGGAGAAGTTGTGAGCCCGCAGAAGGGGCACGCGACACCTCCGGTGTGACACCCGTGTTTGCCCGGTGCCTGCCGGTCTCTCCCTCCCGGCTGAAGGGAAGGGTCGGGGGTCTCTTTACTTCCTTCCTTCCTTCCTCTCTGACGAAGCTCAAGTGTGACCCAACGTCAGCTATAATGGAGCTCTGCATAAGTCACCGTGTAGTTAGGGGAAGGCTTTCCACCTGTCTTTTTCTGAGGTTCACATACACACAAGCGGGAGGACCCCTGGCAGTTGGAAAATGAAATCTGGCGCTAGGGATCAGCGAGGATTTAAATCCCATGCTGGCCTGAGTCCTCTCCTGTCCCTCGGGCCAGGGTGATGTGAAAAGAGCATGAAGCAGAACAGGCTCCTGCTCTGTGGTTACGCGGAGAACATTCCCGCTCCCCTCCCCGGCTCAGGGCTCAGGCTAGCAGTTCTGCTGAGTGCGGGCACTGGGCACCTTCCAGTACCGCCCACTGTGACCCGGTCCCCTACGGGACGTGCGCTGCGTACTTGTCTGCCTCTGCGCACGGCCAGAACACCCCCTGTCTAGCGCTACCCGGTGCTTTACGCTCGGGGAAGCCCGTGGACGAGGCGATGGGAGTCTACAGGCAGCCGGATGGCGGGGGCGTCAGGCCAGGGGTCTGCACACCTGCCCTGGCCCCCGCCGGCTGAGCCCCTTACCCGTGTGGCCTGGCTGGCGGCCCGGGCCGAGGGGCCCATGACGATGTTGACGCTGCTGGACGACTGGGTGTCACTGGTGTTGCCCCCCTCCGCAGCAGAGAGTCCAGAAATGACCAGGGCACTGGAGAAGCTCCTCTTGCCGAAGAGGAAGCTCAGGGTAGAGCTGGTGGACGAGCCCAGGCTGGACCTGATCAGCGCCTCGGCCCGCTCGCGGACGCTCAGGTGGCCCGTGGTGGTGACGGGCGGGGGCTGCGAGTGCAGGGACGCGGCCGAGGCGTGTAGGGAGAGCCGGCTGCCCGAGAGCCTCTGGGCCAACTCGTGGACCGACGTGGATGTCTGCAGGAAGGGCTGGTGGCTTTCTAGGATCGGGCCGGACGAGCTCAGCGGGGCCGGCCTTTGGCATAACGCCCCAGGGGCCTGGACAGACTGGCTTCTTCTGCCTTTAGAAGAAAGCAGAACAGGTTGCCACGGCAGAGGGGAGAAGGAGCCTACCCGTGCAGCTTTACAGAGAAGCAGGAGGAGGCTCGGTCGCATAACTGAAGTATCAGGAAGCGCTAGGCTCTAATGTTCAACTATGACTTTGAAGGGAGCGGTCAGTGAGGTCACAGTTCTACCAACTGCCTTATCGACGTGTCTCCTGAAGCTTCCACAATTAGGCATTCAATTGATAAAGAATAGAGGGGGTGAAGGGGTGGGCCCCCTGGGGACCGTCCCATGCATTTTCTCACGTTCAACCTCAGCCCAAATGATTAATTGTGCATCTGGTGATTCTAATTTACTTACGTGTGTCTAGAGGAGATCCCGAGAAGTGACATGTCCTTGAGAGAGAACTCCTTAGGGAACATGCGTTAATATGGGGATCCCAGGGGTCCCCTCCAGCCCCGCTCCTACCCCCCAGCGGCTTCTTGGCTGGAAGGGTCCTCTGCCTCACGTGGACCTTAGTGCGATGTGGACGCTGGGATGGTGAGGTGCCCGTTTCCACACAGGTGTCCCCACCCGGTCTCTCCCGCCTCCTGCCCGCCTGCTGGGACCCCGGGGGGCGCCCCCCATGGTGCTGCTCACAGTCCCGCAGGACAGGGATGAGTGTGGGCAGCCCCTCCCCCGCCCGGCACGGGGCTCTCCCTGGGAGCTGGGGCCCATCTGGCTGATCCCTGCTGCAGAGCTACGTTACTCTTACACAGGGAAACACAGGGAGGAAAGGGACCCTGACGAGTCACAATTAGCGGAGAGGGTGATTTGTTAGTTTATCCAGAGTTCGACAAGGCCAAACATCTGTTTGTGATTTATACGGTAATGCTGATTGCTGTCCAAAAATACTCCACATTCATCCACAAGTCGGTGATTTTGATGCTGGATCGCAGACCACCCGCGCTTGGTGGGGGAACTTCTCAGCTAATTCCAAAAACCAGGGGACAAAGACCCATCTGTATGTCAGAGGGGAATGGTTTATGTTCAAGGCGAGACAGGGGTACCTCCCCCCCATTTCCTCGCTTCAGACTTTCTCGTTGCTCTCTGTTGTTATTGTGGTTCTTGATTTTTTTTTTTTCTAAATTAATTTTGCAAGTGGAACGAGTAAGCAAGCCATGCAAATGCATTTGTGCTACCCAGGGTCATTATTTGATCATTTAACTTAACTTTGCCAATCACTTCATTATCAGATTATGAGTGTTTCCCCAGAAAACCTCCTCAGAACCTGGGTTTTGGAAATACCAGAAAAATTACCCTTCTTGGTTCATTAGCCTGGCACCATTCTCTCATCTCGGATGGTTGTCTGGAAGGCCGTGGTGCACATCCCCGCCAGCTGAAGGGTGGAGTCTTCCTCTCCAATCTGGGATTCAGATTAGTGAGGAATTCCTGACTGTTTTCTGCAAGGAGGTCACCAGCCTCTCCAACAGGGACCAGTCCCGTCCCGGCCGGGACGTCTACTTTGTAGCGAGGCAAGAAGACGGTAGGCTGTCGGGCCAAAGTTGAGGCCGCGCAGTGAGTGCTGGGCCCAGCAGGGCCAGCAGACGCACCGGGTGGTGGGCTGGGGGCAGTGCTCCTGCCTGAGCAGGACCCCAGGCCCCGGATTGGGATGCGCGGCTGGGAATTGAGGCAAGGAACAGGTGGGGCCCCAGGCACGGGAGTTGAGCTTGGGCCCTATAAAACAAGATCCCTTTCTTAGAATTTGGTTCACGTTCACCCTTCAGACGGTTCCATCATTGCTACTGGCTCAGCTTCTCGGTCATGCCCTTTCAGAGAGGCCGGCCCTCCTCCTCGACCCCCCCGGGGGCCTCCCTCCCGCACGGTGCTTAGCACATGGGTGGTCACTGTCTGCTTTGTGGTACTGTGCTGTGTGTGGTACAGGCCATCACCCTCCCGGCCCCCTTGAAGTGACAATGACTGCATCGTCCCCACAGGTTCAGCACGTGGACTGGCAGGAAGGGACAGTTGGGACCAGCCTGCAAAACTGACCTCACACTGAGCCCTAGAGCTTCTTAAATCCCCGATTAGGCACAGAGTTAGCCCTGGGAACTTTAGCATGGGGACAGGGCTTCTTATCCTTGGCCGTTAGAACCATTTGGGAAGCTTAGAAAATGCTGTGTCCTAGAGGCTGAGACCCCCCTGGGGTGTGCACCTGCAGGATGCCCTTAGGCCCTCACTGTGCACGGGAGGGCGGCCTCTGGGGCAGGGAGCTGGGTCAGGGATTCTCCTGTTGTTCCAGGCCAAGGCCAGAGATTGGGGCACAGGATTCACCTCCCCTTTCTGGAGAATGGCCTTTAACGTCCCCGCGCTGGCTGGGCAGGCTCCTGGCCTCCTTTCTGGGAGCTGTGGTCTCCACTCGTGTGGGCACAGGGCTTTGATTCAGCGGCACAGAGGGTGAGGAAGCCAGAGAAGACACAGCCCCTTGGGGATGGGAAATGCTGGCCTGCTGGGCATGGTGGGTGGGTGGCTTCCCACCACTGGCTGCATCTCGTGGAAAGATCTCAGCAGCAGGTCTGAGGGGCAGGGCCAGCCAGCCAGGTGGGGCTGCTGCTCCCCAAGAGCGGCCCCTTCTCGGGGCCTCCTGTCCTTGGGACCCTGGGGCTACTGCACACAGGACCTCAGGAATGGAAAACGCTGTGCCCTGAGCCCTCTCTGAGCCAGAAACCCTCCCTGGGTGCCCATGCCAGCCACATCGGCCAAGGAGGAGGTGGGTGGAAGGGGTCCCGGCCGGTCCTTGGAGGCCCAGCTGGGTGTGGCTCTCCCCCGACGCTGCAGGCATTTGCGGGTACTTGCTGTTTACCAGGTGTGAGGGTACATAGCACGGGAGCCTCAGGAAGCTCTCGCCTTCCTGTGTTTGGTCCCCCGAGTCCTGGGGCTCTGACATGCGGCTTACAAGACGGCACGTGCTTCTGACTGCCAAGGGACGGGGAGAGAAGAGACTGCCCCCGGGGAGCAAGCAGGTACAAAGAACCTCCGCAGAAGATGGCAGATAGCCCTGTATGGCTTCAGCCATGGCGGTAGTAAAAAAGAAGGTGACACTGAACTTTTCCAGGGGGCAAGAGGGAGAGGTGTCTGCGTCCTGAGTGTGGGAGAGGCAGGTTGTCCCTCTCGTGTACCCATTTTGGGCCTTTCTAGATTTCTTTTGGGAGATCCCCTCTGCCAGGATGCCCCCAGATTTCCCTGCATCAGCCAGAGCTCAGCCAGGGTGGGGGAGAGGGAAAGAGGGGGGTGATCCCTGCCATTTCTTGTCTGGGACCCATGACCCCCAGCTTCCCTCAGCTTACTGGGCCCCCCTGGGGATGCTAATCTGAATGGTTGGAAAGGGTGGCCCCTCTGAAGCACTTGCAGCCTTCAGCAGACCGGCGGGGATCCTGGCTGCCTCCAGAGACACAGCCTGGATGCTCTAGGGGTGGCAGCCACCTGTGGGAGACCAGGGGTCTGGTCCTCAGCTGCCCTTTGGGGTCCCCCTTCTTCCCAGGACCATGCCAGCTCCATGTGGCCGAGGTCCTGTCCCCAAGGCATCACCAGGAGTGTGTCCACAACTAGCGTTCCTGGAGAACTCCCAAAAGACGTAAAGTCGGGCCCTGGGGAGATTCGGGCGGGGGCTTGGGGCACCGAGGACAGGCCGACAGGATCATAGCTCCTGGTGCCAGTGGTCTGGGCTGTGATGAACAGATGCTGGCCACAGCTGAAGTCCCACGTGGGAATAGGACCCAGCGTCTAGCCCTAAGGGAAGCCTCAGTGACCGTGGCGGAATTCAGCTCCCAGAGTTTGGGGTGGGGGGAGCCATTCTGCTGAGCGGCCACCTAGCTGGCAATTTAGAGGGCCCCACACAGGTCCTCCTTCTGCCCACCTCCCCCCACAGGTCCAGGGAGCCATGGGAACAAGGGGCAAGCCGACCCGCTCCCACACACTCCTGCCTAGAGCCCTGTGCTGGGCGCCTGGCACTCAGGATTCAAGGCCCAGATCCAGAGCCCGCGTGGACCCCTTGCCCGGGCTCCCCTCCCAGGGTGGACGCTGGGCCTTCCTGCGGCTGTCGGCAGGGTACAGATGGGGCATGGTGTGGCCGTCGCTAACGTCTGCAGTTCTGGATAGGAGCACCCACGGAGCCCACGGGCCCCTCTGCCCCTGCCCCATCTCACCCAGCCCGGGGGCGGCGGACAGCTCCCCGGCCCTGACCCACCTGGGGCCTGCCTGCGGGAGCCTCTCCAAGTGGCATTTGACCAGAGGCTTAGTGAGTGGGTGAAGGATGATGCGAATGGTCCGAAGTGAAAATGACACCCCTCCGGCGACGAGGCGGAGACTTACGATCACGTGCCGCTGTCGGGGCTGGGGGCAGGGCCCGAGAGAGCAGGAGAGCAAGAGAGAGGTTCTTCCCATGGTCGAAGCGGGGAAGGGAGGGCAGGCCTGGGGCCATGGCCCCTGTCCCCCCCGCAGCCCTCCGCCCCTCTGCAGGGGTCCACGCCCTCCTTCTGCAGGCCTGTCCGCCTGTGGACACGGGGTAGGCCTGTGGGGACGGCAGGGGCAAGAAAGGGAGGCGGCTGGCTGCTGTCCCCAGAACTGCGTGTCCACTTTGCCTGCTCGTGGGCCAGAAGGAGGGCTGGAGCAGGTGTGGGGGGGTGGCTCCGTCAGCTCCATCCTGGGCTTGGGAACAAGGGCGGCACTTGACGAGGTGACACAGCGTCCCCAGGGCCAGAGTGACGGGACCATGCACGGTGGTTAGGATGGCAGGTTCTGGGCCCGTCTTGCCTGGGCCTGTCTGAATCCCTGCTGGGTGACTCTGGGCAGTGACTTAACTTCTCTGTGCCCCGTCTCCTCAGCTACAAGATGAGGACAGGGAGGGCCTCTCTCGTTGGGTCACGGTGAGGACCAGCGAAGCTGCACTTGGAAAGCACTCAGGATGACACAGGGCAGCAGTGAGGGCTGGGGGACTGTTACTACGATTTGTCACCGCTGCAGGGGTGCGCCTGATAGAACCCGGGCGGGCGGGCAGATGGGCACACAACAGGAGGGGACAGCAGCAAGGCAGGTGGCTTCAAAGCCACTGGTGCTTGGCTGTGGGCCCCATCAAGCCCCTGAGCAAGACGACAGCGGGTCTCAGAGCCTGAGGCAGCCTCGGGCTGCAGGTGGGGACTGACGGTCACGCGTGCTGGGAGGCCAGGCCCGTGGCTGATGTCCCAGGCCTGCCTCGGTACCGTGTAGAGCACGGAAAGCCAGGAGTGACCTCGGTAGGAGCCGTTTTAAGAAGCAATAATGAAAAATGAACAGCTCGTTTGGGCTCTGGAAGATCCTGCTCCAATATCTGCCACAAAAATCTGTATGTGCTCCCAGCTGCAGGCCTCTGGCTGTGAATGGGAAGAACATTCACTACCCAGGGTGTCCGGGTCCCGAGGGGAGGGAGGGACACTAGGGGACACTAGGGAGGGCCACGTCTGCCAGGTCTGCCAGGCCAAGCAGCGTTGGCCCCTTTTTACTTGTAAAAAAGGGAAGAGGCATCTCACGGGGTCCCAGGCTCGTCCAGCACACCCACCTCCAACTCTTTAAGAGCTCGGGCCTCCTCCAGCCCAATCCCACCCCCCTCCCCCCACTCCAGACTTTCTCTGGTGCAGACAAGTCACCTGGACAGGCGTGCCAAGCGCGCAGGCATTTCTCCATTTGGAAGCTACCTTGCATTTTCCCATCTGGAAAATCGCTTCAGTGATTCTGAAACTTAACATTGCTCATGCAGCAAGAACAAGTGTTAACGAAGCAGTAAGACACTCCCAGCCTGAGAGTGAGCCTTGAGCACTGAGGCCTCCGGCCGGGCTGGGCAGGGACTCTGCTCAGCCCTCAGGGCCGATGGCTCCAGGCAGGAACAGGCAACCCCAGCCACTCTGCCCAGCTCCCCAGCTCCCTCTCTCTCCCTACCTGCCTTCTTCCCTTCCTTCCTAGCTTCCATCTTTCCATCTCTCGGTCTCATCTGTCTGTCCACGCATCAGTCACCTGCATTTCTCTCTATCTCCCTATGTATCTGTATTATTCTACTATCAGCTTGCTTTTCTTCCTCTCTTTCTCTCTTTCTCTCTTTCTTTCCTTTCTTTCTCTCTCTCTCTCTCTTCTTTCTTTCTTTCTTTCTTTCTTTCTTTCTTTCTTTCTTTCTTTCTTTCTTTCTTTCTTTCATTGCTTTCTTTCTATCAGCTGTCTGTCTCTCTATCTACAGTCTTGCCCATGTTTTCTGTAAAATCCTCAGCCTTGCCTGGGGCACTTCCAGGAAGCATGGACTGTTCCTTGCTAACTCACTTGGTGCAGAGCTGGCCCGTGGGACAGGCACAAAGAGGCACTTAATGAAGGCTTCTGGATGGTGAGGAAGCACTGAGGCCAAAAGATGGAATCACTCACAGGTTGCAAAGCGCAAAGCCAAGCACTGATGTGCTGGCGGGAACCAGGACAGAGCATCTGCCTCTCCTGCATCCATCCACCCGGTATGTCCTCTGCAAGCCCTCAGTGTCACCTTTCCTAACCCAGCCGCCCCCTGTGGAGCAGGTTCTGGAAGCCCATCCATCTGGTTGAGCCTAACTAGGTGGGCATTAGTTTAAAGTTGATGTTAGACTTTAAACTCATCCCAAACGTGGACCAGTGCGCCTCCTCCATCCCGTCTGCTGGCATCCCTTTTCCCCTCTTTTGTTACCCTCTGAAATGTCAGGTGTACGTGGGGGAGGTGGGAACCAGAAAGAAGCAGGAATGGGGGAGAAGGGGGCCTGTCTGCGCAGCCCACAGATGCAGAGAGGGAGAGGATCCACTCTCAGAAGGGTGCACACACCAGCCTGGATCAGTAGCTACAGCACCGCCAGACACAGAATCCAACGGCCACCGAACGAGGGAGAGGTGGGACGGCGGGAGTGGCCGGTGGACAGACAGACAGACGGACAGACAGGTGGCTGGCTATGGTAATAGACAAGAGATGGATAAAGGATAAAACCTGAGTCTAACAGAGTTTTTTTGCGAGCAGAGTCAGTAAATTTGGGGCATCCTTTGGCCCAATCCTGATTTATTTTCTTTTTGCAAGAAGGAGCTCTTGCGGGTTTAGAATGACAGCATCGCCCATGGCGTTGGTCACTGGGACCAAAGGAGCTTCGATCGGTGACCTTGAGGCCCCGCTGCACGCACCTGTCTTCTGTGTCCCTTCACGGGGCGGCCAGTGGTGGGTCCCATCTTTTCCTGGCTGTTCCATGCTGCTCTCCTGGTTCTCGCCGCCCGGAGCGCGGCCGCCGCCTGCAGAGGGGGCAGCCCTCCCATCCACGTCTTCAATGTTGCCGGCGCCTGGCTGGCCAGAATCACAGCCCTTGCGCACCCTGGGAGGGGAGAGGGACCTCAGGCATTCTCAGCAGACATTCCTACCCCCCCCCCACCCATGTCAGAGTCAGGGCGGAAGACCGTGCTCCACGGGTGAGCAGCACGCCTGGGCAGCAGGGGAGAAGGGGGCTCCTGGTCCCCAAATGCCAGTGCCTGGTAAATGAATAAACTGCCCTGGGGTGAATAAGCTACAGCCCTGCCCTTCCGAAAGAACCCTGGGCTCTGGGGCCTGAGATAAGCAGCCGCACTCCGCGGCCGCACCTCCTCGAATCTATTCCAGCTAACCCGAGACCTTTCCACAAGCGGGCGGAGGGCTTGCTGGATGAGAGCTGCATGCCGGGGGGGGGGGGGGGGGGGGGGGGGGGGGGGGGGGGGTTCAGGCCTGGTCTCCCTGACAGAGGTGCAACAGTTACTCCTGCAGACCCACAACCTCTGCAGGAACGCTCTGCAGGAACGTGAGCCAGACCTCAGCCTCGGCCAGTGTGAGGGACACAGAGTCTCATCTGTGTGAGGTTCCCCCCGACTCATCATCTGAAACTGCTTGTGGAGACAAATGATCTGTTAGGCTGCTTGGGAATAGCAGTTTTCATCGTACATGGAAATGGTGGTCAACAGTGAAACTCTAACCAGAAATGGGAGAGCTTTCCATGCACCCCCCCTCCCCCCAGCATCTGGATGAAGGCCTGGGTGGGAAGGACCTACCTTAACCACTTGGTTCGGAACCACGTCCTGATGTCGTCCAAAGTGACGGGGCCGCTCCAGACACTCTGCAGCTGCCTGTGGGTCCCTAGGTAGGACGTGGTTAGTGGGGAGACGTACATGGGGTACCCCAGAGGCTGGTCACAGGAGGAATTAATCAAGTTTCGGAGGACCTGCTTGTTGTTCTGGATGCTTCCACGCTCTGGGTTGCGGTTGCGAAGGAATATGAGCTCTTGCTGCTGCCCGGCCCAGAGGCCACGGACACATTCTTTGTTAACCTGCGGGTCGGGGAAGGAACGGGGAGGAGAGGGCGCTGGCGCATGTTTTCAGTCTGCTGGCTTTACCCCACAGACCGTGAGGAGGGCTGTGGGTCTGAATATTGGTGACTACACCACCCTGGCCTGAAGCCGCTTCCACAGTCAGGCCAGAAGAGCGGTCCTAGGAAATGGGTATGATGCCACTTTCATGGGGAAACATGGCTAAAAGAAAGTTGTTGTTTTTGATCCAGTGGTTTGAAGCGATACAAAGAAAAGAAATACTGGTTAGAAAGCCTTCAGGTCCAGGAATAGGTTATTAAGTTCTGGAAGTTTAGAGAACTAGGGAGTGTTTACAAATAAGCCAGATCCTGACCCTCATCTACATGGGCGCCTACCAGGACTTCTTGCCAAAGCCTCTGCCTACACACTAGTTCTCAGGGGCAGGAATGACCCTGGCCCCCTGGCCCGCCTCTGCTCCCCCAAGACCGTGTCCCTGAAAGAGAAGCTAGCCCAGGGACGCGAGCGCTGGTACCAGCCGGGAGGTAGGGCCACTGTACCTTGATAACCTTGAAGCTCAGGAAGCTCCTGTGGAGCATGATGACCTTGTACTCATGTGTGCCCTCATCTACCACGTGCCGCAGGGTGAGCAGCTCCTCCTTGTTGGACAGCACGGCGCCCCTCCAGGCTGGGTCACCCTCGTGGCAGATCACTACTTTCTTCTCGAAGGATTGGATGGCCTCATAGAGGACCCCTGGGTCTTCATACTCGTCGGGGCAGGTGAACTGGTCCTGAGGGAAGGAGGTCCGTCTGAGCTCAGGGAGGACCAGACAGCTGACCCGGGGGTGAGTGTGCAGATGGTGACTCAGCCGATGACCCCAAGAGCCAAGCCCACATCCACGTGGACTCTCTTCCCACTCTCCTTCCGAATCCTGAGCTGGGTAGGGGATACCTCCTCCTCCCACTGTCCTAACTGCTGGCACGTGCCCAGGAAAACAGCATTGTGGCTTAGGTTCGGGCATTTGAGATGTCATTTTCTCTGGCCTAGCGGAGCATCCCCACCTCCTAGCCGCTCTCGAGGGCCAGTGGCCGCTGGCTGATGTCAAGAATATCTGGGTGGCCTCGATGCTTAGTTACCCAAGTAACATACCCACTCACAAATGTCATACCAAGAAAAGGGACCTGAAATGTCTTGTTTGCTCCCTAATGTTTCAGACTTACCTTTTAAAAAAAAAAATGGATTTTTTTAAAAACTTTTTAATTTTCTTACCTGGTGAAGCTTCAGGGACATCCTGATGGCTGGAGCAACAACCTTATGCAGAAGGTCCATGTCGGCAAATACCCACTCATCTCGTGCGGTGATTCTGAAGTCACCTTTGAAGAGGGCGTGAAGGCCATACAGGAAAGAATCCAGGCTGTAAAGCAAAGTCCGACTTAACGTTCGCTCACACTGAACAGTGTTCAGAAACTTGTCACTCTGAGCAAGGTCTGAGGCTCCCATCTGTCATGTCAAGAATGACCGTCATGCCTTGCAAAGGCTGACCGAGGTGGAGTGCCCCAATGCCCAGACCCTCCCGACAACCAGCATAATGGCCAGCCTCAGAAACCGTGACCCCCGCCCCCGAGTCCCTCATGCTGAGCTCCGAGAGTGAGGGTGCAGGTCCTGGTCACTGCGAGCCTCTGCTTACGGCTGGTTTGTTCCAGGACTCCCAGAAGTGCCCTTCTCAGGGGGTGACTGACAGGGCCCCCTGGGGAACAGCCCACAGCTTGGGCTGTTCTCCTTTGGTTTCTTGGTATCACTAGCAGGCTATGTGACTTGCAATAAAAACTGGATTCTACCACAAGGTGGAGAGGAAGAAAATGAAACCCAGTGGAATCTCAAATGGGCCATTCGGATTCTCTGAGCACATCTGCTTCCCAGCCGCACCCTTGGGTGAATGACTGTGGAAGTGGCCTCATGGGGGTGGGGGTGGGGGTTAAAATGAATGACCGAAGGGTTTCTCAGGATTATCCGGGTTTTCACGTTTCCAGGCTTTTCCTGCTCACCTTCCATTTCCTGCACATAATTGAGCATTGCCTGGATCGAGAACACAAGAGTCCACCCAAGGGAAATCTCCCATGGTCTGGGCGCTTTACAGTTGGGATGAACGTTGGGGAACCCAGCTTTGGGAAGGCCACGGATCCTGTACAATGGGAGCAGGAAGAGGTGTTCTTCCTACTTTATTTCCACGAGTATTCTCAGTCGAACAACCCTGGCCTCTTACTGAGGTGGTTATGAGGTGGGTATAAAGCAAAAGCAGTCCTGATAGGGCTGAATTGGGACAGAATGAGCAGGAAAATGCATGAGAAGGACAATCTCTGAGGATGGCTGCTCGTAAGGATTTAATGAGTTGGCTCACCGAGCCAGACTTTTGATGCAACACAGCACATTAGACCTGCACGTCAGGGGAATCATTCCAATTGATGGCTATTTTAGCGTTTCATGGCAAAACGTACCACTATCATTAATTTCCTTCTGGAACTCTCTTGAGAGGGATGCCGAGGCTTCGAGTCAGAGCAGACTGTGGGAAACGGAAGTAGCTGAGGTCTAGGCAGGTGGGGCTCAGGGTGCTGTGGTCTGGAGGAGCCCAGAAACTTCCAGAAAGAGTTCTGGGAGGCACCCTTCTCAAAAGGCTCTCCCCTCACGGAACAAAGACTTCCTGGGGCTGCGAGCTTTAGCGACTGCCTGGGAGGCACCGAGGAGGGAGCTACAAGACAGCAGGGCCGGGATGCAGCAGGGCGAATGCCAAGGGCAGAAGCTTTATAGTAATGAGTACTACCTGCTGTTGGCTGAAAACATCTGAAAATGCCCCTGTCATTAGCTGGGAGCTAAGCACTGAAAAGGAACAGCTAAGTGGCAGGACATGGGTGGGTCTTCTTCTGGAAAGGATGAGGAACGCCATGTTGCTTGCACACACAGGAAGACAAAACACTCCTCCAGACGTGGGAATGGGGATGGTGGCAAAGGAAGATTAAGGGACTCGCCCAGAGACCCAGAGCGCCTTCTGCAGACCAGAGAGCAGAGCAAGGAGTTCAAGGCGCCAGGCTCTCGTTTGCTCAGTGCAGGTGCAGGGTAACCACAGACTGCTTAACTCATCAGGAGGGAAAACACCACTTCCATGCGAAGGCCCCCGGCGACAGATGCTTTACTTGTCATTTTTGGGGGGAGAAAATGACCTTGTTGGACCTAATGCTGTTCTTTTAAAATGATTCTCAATGTAGGAAACAAACCCTGAATCAGAATTCCACTGGACTGGTGGTATTATCCTTAGCACCTTAAAGGTAACGGCATCCTGAAAGAAAGGTGTTTCATTATCCTTAAGAGAATGAAGAGGAGGAAGGCAGAGGGATGTGATGAGCTGGGGAGGGCTCTGAGGGGCAGAGCCAGGTCTCTGGGACACCGGCAGCATGTTTCGGATTTGGAGGTTCATTAGTGCTTTGTCTTTTTTAAGATTCCACCAAGTGACACCGAGCTCCCACCCCCAGGCCAAGAGCTGGAGTGGGGAAAGAGTACCATATCTGAGTCAATCAAGGTTGGCCTTCATGGGGACTAAACAGCCACCTTCTATCCCCCCTCCAATTCCCCCCCACCCGACCTGGGATGTTGGTGAGACATGCTGTCTCACCTATCCTATCACAGAGTTTGCTGGCCAGGCAATCACCCGTGCAGGGGCAACTGTGTCCAGATGTGTGGGATTAGGTACAGGCCAAGGCAGACCGGGTCCCAGAAGAAACCGGACACGTGTATAATAGTGTGTTAAAGACGCATATGCACACATAGAGAACCAAAGACCACGGTGCAGAGATAAGCATGGGCTTCCAAGGCACTAAATGCAGGCTAAAATTTCAATAAAAAGAGCACTAGAAACACATTACTCTTTAATATGATGATGAGTAGCTAGTGCTTGAGTGCATTTTCTTTTTAAGGGAAAAGACTGGTATGTATTGTTTAGGCTGTAAGACCACGCCACTCAACCTGAGAACACGTCTAGTGTCCTGGCCCTCCAGCTGACTCTGGGGGAGGGACTGTGTCTGCGCTGCTTCCCGCTTGGCCCTGAGCCCCTCTCCCGCAAGGTTCCATCCATGCTCCCCAGGCCGAGGACTGGGGTCCTGATCTTGCCTTTCTCACGGCATGTGCATGTGTGTGCGTGTGTGCGCGTGTGTGCGTGAGCATGTGTGCGTTAGAACAGACGTTCCAGCCTCTGGCTTGGCATGACTCCGCAGCCCCAGCAGACACCAACGACCATAAAGCTGGGTCTCCAAGGATACTCTGATTGCCCAAACTCCCCGTGCTTGTCTTTCTGGTTCCTGACCCAGCTTCCTATGAACAATGACATGACTGACGCATACGGATGAGAGGCTGGGGTCGTTGGTACCTAAGCACCGTGGCTCCCAGCCCCTCTAGAAAAGGCTGTTTTCTGGCTTGAGGCTCTGGCTGTCACTTGCAGAGCCGGCCACTGCCGGTATGCGAGCTTGGCCCAAGGCTTACGCTTTAACTGGCCCTGCTCCTCTCAGCACCCTTGCCATCAACTTTCACAGCAAGGACAATCTGAGGATGGCCAGTAGAAGCAAAGGCTGTTTGTTTTCACCATCTTGTGACTCCGCTTTCTTTATTCACAGAGTCTTCCCCCTAGATGTATTCTAGCCTGAGGTTTCTTATGCCCCTCTAAGCCCCACTTTTGTTCGACATCACTGATGGGCTTAGCCCATCCCTCATCTCTACCCTCTCTCACTGGTTCTCAACTGCTGGCAATTTAGGTCCCTGGGGGCCATTTGGAAACCTTTTTGTATGTCACAACCGGGGCGGGGAGGAGGGCGGTGGTGTGTTCTGGCACCTAGTAGGGAGAAGTCGGGCAGGTTTGCTGCAACAAAGCAACAAAGCACCATGCAGCCCAAAGGTTCATCGTGCCTCTGCTGAGAAGCTACGCTTCCTGAGAAACAGCACCACGCGAGGGAGGTCACAGATTTCCAGTTTTGGACAATGGGGTCATTATCTTGGATCCTGGCTTAACGAATTTTAGGGTTTGGGGGGAAACAACTTTAATGCCAGGATAGTTCCTGCAGGACTTGCAGTGGGCTCTCCAGAACAATGACTGATTTGTTCATTTTCGCTCCTTTCCAAACAGGCCCATAGACGGTGTTTACAGCTCAGCACCACGAAGAGCCTTCTGTTGCCGCGCGTCTCGCAGTAAACGGAGAGCTGGTAGACCATATGCGAACAATTAAGTGTGATTTGCAGGCTGGGTTTCCCTGTGCTTACTGATTAGTAACAGAGCTGCATAGGGAGCTGGGCCTGTCCGCCTCAGTTGGTACTCCAGGCTCAGAGAGCACGTCCAGCTCAGGAGCCCAGCATGCCTTCGTGTGCTTTACTCACCCTGTGCAATTCAGCAACCTGCCCTGGTTTTGTGGCTAATTCCACCACCCCGGCCATATTCTCTGGCTAAAGATCCACCCCCACCCCCAGTACTAACGAACAACAATGGTCCAGGTGACTAGCACCACCTCTGAGCAACAGGAAGTGAAACAGAGGTTGGTAATTTCCATTTTTCTGATGGTTTGTGGATTACTAAGCCCTTTCCATCCCATTAGCTCAACTCATTCTCGTGGGTGCTTGCACAAGATATATTATTCCAGCCTTTTCCTTTAAGAGGAAATGGGCCAGAAAGGGATAAGAAAGAGGGTAGGACAGGTGGGAACAAATACTCTGTATCTCATGCCACGGAAGACGCGTCAGAGCAAAGCCACGGCTGCCTTCTGCTTCCACACCCGTCCAGGAAACCTCGCATCCAGGAAACCCAGCCTTGCGTCGAGAGCGTGTAGCTGGACCATCTTCTTACAGACCAGCCCAGAGGCTCTGTTAGAATGAACTAGCTCTTGAAGCTAGTCCATCGGTTTTAAAATCAAACCAGCCCCTGGATCCCAGCTACCTCCTACCTGGTGAAGAGCACTCTGACAGAAAGCAGTGGCATCCCTCAGGTAGGATCAAGGTTCTTCACTAGGTTTTAGAGTTCAGGTACCACACAGAGAGGCACCTGTGGCCCCAAAGAGCTGGGAGCCAGAAACCTAAACCCAAGCTTCAATTTTGGCTCTGATACTTGTTGATACTGGCAAGTCCCTTGTCCTCATCATCTCTTTCTTTCTGCATTCATCCTTAAAATCAGGCTTGTCCAGGGAGATGTGGAGGCCGGGTGAGGGGCTGGCTAAGATCTCTTTACACTGGGGACTGGGTGCACAAGTGTGGTTTCAGGACAATGGACACGGGTCAGTGGGGGGAGAGAACAAATCCACCCCAGTGTCCAGCATTCATCTGTCCGCCGGGACCCATGCCTGAGTCCTGAAAGATGCAGAAGACAAGTTCAAGAGAGCGGGAGCATTG